TACACACTAACATCTCTGAAGTGATCTTGCCAGAATCTAAATTGGATAAAGTCTTCATATCTAAGAATCATATTACAGATGGTACAGGGAACAGAGGAACATGTTAAGTTATACCACTTGGACTATAATCAGCAAAATCCAGATTGTGGGAAACTCTATGGGACAAATGACTAGGTTTCTTCAATAAATAAACTGCACAAAAATAGAAAAAGGAGAAATATTATTCTAGTCCCATACCCCATTGGTGAGATTTCACCTTTCCTGGAGTCTCCAGATTTGAAGACTCACTAGTTGGGTCTTTAAAGAAAGAGTCTTAGTTTTCCTTTCTTGAAGTGAAGTGAAGTGAAGGTTGCTCAGTCATGTCCGACTCTTTGTGACCCTAATGGACTATACAGTCCATGGAATTCTCTAGGCCAGAATACTGGAGTGGGTAGCCTTTTCCTTCTCCAGGGTTCCTTTATTGGGGAGGGGTAAAATGGAGGAAGGGATTACTATGTGGGATGGGACAGGAGATGTAGGTTCTAGCTTCTCAATTTAGATAATTTCAACCATGTCCCCCTGTTAGACTTATACCTCATCTTCACATTCCACAATACCCAACAGCCCAATTTCTGAGGCATTCTGGGGAGTCATCCTACTTCTCTGCTACATCTCCCTTTATAAACTGTTCTGCTCCACTACATCAGTTATGATTTGCTCCATCCACTTTCCACCTCCCCAGAATGCATTTAATCTTTTCTCTACTGACATCTCTTTTGTTCTTGCTGTCATTGCAGATCTGTATCTTTTAAAATTTCTCATTGTCCTTTTAGTGGAATTTTGTGAAGGAGTGGAAATAAGATGTGTATAATCAATCGACCACACAGAATACTTTAAACTAGGAATTCCAGGATAGCAATCTCTAGTAAAGAGAAACTGCATGATTTTCTGCTATGGGAGAAAGCAGTCAAGAGAGCCAGGAACTGGACAATCTCATTATAGATTCAGCAACTCCCCTGGACACCAGAGAGAATGGCTGAACATGAAAACGTCTGAGCGTTAAGTCCACTACTCAGCAGAGTTTAGACTTCAAACAACTCTGGAGCTGCCAGCCTAGTTTGGACAATGTGCAGATAACTAGAAAAGAGTTCAGAAGCAGCCTCACCATCTGCCCAGGCACAAACAAAGCCCCATATGCGTCCTGATGCTTATGTACATCACAGTCCTCATTTCTGCACTTGCAGGACATGTGGCAGCCCAAGACCATAAATCCATAGCAATTAGGCCTCCAGCCACGTCATCCCCCGGAACTGCTCTGGCACAGGTGGCTCATGGTCTCCTGATTGACAAATCCAAGTAAGCTTACCATTCAGCAGCCCCCTGACACTGTCGACTACTGACCACCTTTTCTTTCCCACAGCCAGCTTGTTAAGTTACACTGAAAGATAACAATCACTGGTGAGCTGATTTGGCTTCCCCTCCCCTTCTGCAAGCACAGTAGTGCACAAACACATAAGCACATGCACACACATACACACTGCACACACATACCCTCCCGTCTCTGCTGCCACCTGCATCTCTCCAATCTTGCTGCTTGGAGAATTCGGAAGGAAGCTGAGTTTTTCTATTTTTTTGAGGAACAGTAGTTTACACAAATTGTTTAATAGGGGCTGGGTACTTAGAAGTCCTTTTAATGGACACTAGTTTGCATAAACAGTTTGCATTTAGATTTTTCTTTAAGGGATGTTAATTATTTAAACTATCAATAAAACACTGCAGTTTAAGTTTGGTTAAATCATATCCTGGGGCCACGTGGGAGGAGCAGTTGGCTGTAAAGGAGAGTTACAACCTTGAGCATACCCCAGGCAGTAAAGACAGTCAAGGAAGCTGCACTGGGGAGCGGGGAGGCCTTGGCCCTGCCTCATCCTGTCAGGAAAGTGGTGTAGCTCATTTTTGGCCCTTAGTTGTGAGCCACTTATGATAGCAGATGCTGGATATAAAAAGGGACCCAAAGCCCCAGATAGGGCAATGGAGGAGCACTCAATGAAGTCCAGCTTTTATGGTCAAAAGGGAGGGCTTTCTCATCAGAGAAAAGGAGACCAGAGTCTGTGGTCTACCTCCAGCCTGGTCGAGGTGATGCTGGACGGCCCCCTCCAACTTCTCTGTTATTCCCTCCTCTTTGTGGCCAGGTGGGTCCCCCTATGGTGGAGAGGTGAGGATGTGAACATGAAATGCGTTTATTTATCTCCTAGGTTCTATTTATAAAGAATCCAACCTGAACTCCTGGATTCAGGCCCCTAAGATACACCCTGGGAAAGTGGTAAAACCAGTTCCTGGTGCACTTGTGGCTGGTGTGCAGGACCCTTCAGAAAAGCCCCTGAGGCCCAGTCCCTGCCTCAAGCATGAGTGATGGGTCTGGCAGAAGATACCTTCCAAGGTGAGACCAGATTCACTCAGAGCTGAATGAACCAAACATCAGGCCTCAGCATCAAGCTAGACAGTCCTAACATCTGGTAAGGTAGGGGACCCAGGACCTGCCGGTCAGCTGTCAATGACACCTGGGGAAGCCAAACCAGTTGGGCAACATCTATGAAAAGGGCCTTCTTAACATCCTAGAGCAGTGCTTCCTAAAGCTGCACATAGGAATCATCTGGGAGCCTTTAAAAATCCCAGTGCCCAGCCGTACCCTAGAACAGAATCTCTGAGGATAGGATCCAGGCATCAGTGCTTTTTGAAAGCTTCTAGTGGGCACCCAAGAGAAAACCAGTGTCTAGAGTCAGGCTAGCTCCAGTCAACTCCTGCTTTATGCTACTCAGCTCTGCAACCAGAAGCCTAGATGACACCACTGTGGTCCAAGCCTCTGCTAAGCCCCCCAGGGTTGTCTCCTTCCCAACTCCAGGGGTCACCTTCACACAGAAGACAATATGCCCAGTCCTCTCTGGAGCTGTGTGATGCTGTGACTCTGTAGGTGTCTGCCACCCGAAGATCAATTCCTGTCTTCTCTCTATCCCCATTCTGCTGCCTTAATTCAATTCTCCCCATCAATCACCTTACTGCAGTTTCTCCTAACTAGCTCCTCCACGAATCCATTCTCTGCACGGACCAGGTGATTGGAACACTAAACATAATCATATCACTTTTCTGCTTAAACCTTTATACCTTCAAAATAAAATATGGATCCTTCTGAAGACCCTCTGTGGTGCAGCCTCTCTCATCCTGGGCCTCATCTCCCATCATTATCGCACACCCACCCTGTGATCCTCCCATACTGCCCCACTCCGTGTTTCATGCTACTTCACATCTCTGTGTCTCCTCCTTAGCTACCTGGCCAACCTCCATCCTTCTAGCTCCAGCCCAAAGGCAGCTTTCTGGGAAGACTTTTCAGACCCTGCTGAGCTGAGGGTTCCTTGTGCCTCTGGGCCACCACTGCACCCAGCACGCACCCCTTCCTACGTGCCTCCCACAGCACTGTCATTATTTCTGTGCATCTATTTCCCTTTCCTCAGTTGGCTCCCAGAAGACCTTCATTCACAGACCATGGGAACTTAATAAAAAATCAACTCCCTGGGCTCTGGGAAGGACCCCTGGATCTGCTTCCTCCCACCCACTTTGGACCATCTCTGCACTGGCTTCCCCTAGACCCTGGCCTGTGGGGCTCGGCATCTTGGCTTCATTTTCCATGAAAGCCACTTGGACCCTAGGCTCTGGCTGGGCTCCTTTGACTGACCACGCTGGCAGGCTGTGGGATGCTGCCTCTAGGCATTCACTCTACCTTGCTCCAGCCCAGGCCCCAGGAACATATCCCATCCAGTAAAGGGAATCATGTATAATTTATATGCTTGCTTCCTGGGGCAAAGACTGAGCTTGATTCACCTTTGGATCTCAAATACTAGGACTGCACCCAGTTTTTAGTAGTTATTCAGTAAATGTTTATTAATGTTTATTATAAATAGATAAATGGCATTTCTTTTCCATTTTCTCTAGTTCTTCTTGGGATCTCCCTCCTGATGGTCACTTTTTTTTTTTGGCTCCCTTATGCTTCCTCTGTGGCTACCAGCTGCAGTGGCCCTGGGGGTCTAGAACAGTTTCTAGAAGAAACTAGACCAGAATATCATACTAGCTCACCAAGGAGTTCTCCCCTTCTCCAACTTCCCTTTGTAGTGAAACCCTATACTAAATAGCCTCATATACTAACAACCATTCTCTAACTAGATTTCGTGTATCACTCCTCATCTTTTTTTCTGGCTGTACTGTGAGCCCTAGAGGATAGGGATCAGTGTGTCTATAGCCCCTCTGCCTCCAGCTCACTTGTGATACACAGTAAGCACTCAATGAATGCCCCATCACTGGAGACCAGCAAGCCTCCCCTGGACACGGGAACTGAGGCTCTCAGATGAAGAGATGGCCTTCCTTTCTCTAGAATGTTCAGCCTCTGCAGAGATGATTTGGCATCTGTTTCTCAATCTGGGATAAATGTTCTGGATCAAGGAGTCCCATTAAAATGCCTCCCAAAGCACTTAGGGAATTATGCTTGGGGAGTCCTTCTTGGCAGCAGATAATAAATCAATCACAGCTCAGTGAAAATGCTAAGCTAGAATGGGATTACTCAGGCCAAGCTAAGAGGGACACCCTTCCCCTCAAACAAACGCAGAGATCTTCCTGTATATTTAGGCTCTGCATTTATAATGACCAGCCGTTCCAGTTTGTCCAGTACTGAACTGCTTCTAGTGGAAGTCCTGCATCCTGGAGCCCCTCAGTCCAGGCAAATAGGAGTCCCCAGCTCCTGTTCTCACAATGCAGGAGCCCCGTGTGTGCCCCTATGTTTACGTGGCCGAGACCCCCACTCCCAAATACCTTCCCAGCTGTCATCCAGACAGATAGGGTGAGTCCACAGCGGCTGACAAGAGCACAGGGTTCCTGTTTTCAACCCTAGGGGCTGAATTCTGAATCTCGCTCCTTGTGCTGCCCTGGCCCCAGCCCCCAAACAACAGGAAAATTTCAGGGAAAGGAAGCAAATGTACCTGAAGGAGGGAGACATTGGCAAGGCTGAGTCTGAAGAGGTAGTTCCTGTGAAAACAGAAACAGAGGCCATAAGTCAGGCTGGCTGTATAGGCAGGTCCCCAGGAAGCGGCTTTCTGGCTCCTGCCTCCGGGTGCCAGGACTGGGTGTCAGGACTAGGTGCCAACTGCAGAGGGCCGATGGTGGGCCAGCCCCAGGGAGAGCTTTACCTTCATTAGCTCATTTGATCTGCACAGCCATCCCGGGAGCAGAGAGAAAACACCATGTTACGGATGAGCAAACAGCTGGGGTAAATGACTGGGTGTCAGGACTAGGTGCCAACTGCAGAGGGCCGATGGTGGGCCAGCCCCAGGGAGAGCTTTACCTTCATTAGCTCATTTGATCTGCACAGCCATCCCGGGAGCAGAGAGAAAACACCATGTTACAGATGAGCAAACAGCTGGGGTAAATGGACCAAGTCAGAGAGACAGTATGAGGAAGAGGTGGGATAGAAACCCAGACTCATGTGCCCCTGGAGACCCACAGGCACTGTGGGTGGACCTGGAGGGTGGCAGGACCCCCAGGTCAGAGAACCACATGGAAGTGAATACGGATTCACATAGTAGACCCTGCAGCAGAGACAGAGACCCTGCTGCAGAGACAGGGAGAATTCCACTTGCTGGGGGCCTCCTGAGGGCCTCAGTGTCCGCATCTGTAAAATGGAGAAGCTAACGCCTGTCTTCCTTATTTCATAAGACCCATGGAGACAGGAATAATGTGATGCATGTTAAAAGGCTTTATTAATGTGAAACAGATATAAAGTTTTGATTTTCCCTAAGAATTTTCTTTCCTTCTTTTATCTTCTTTTGGCTGTTCTTCTTTTGGTTCCTGAAGTTTTTGGAATAACTACTTTAGAAAGTTCTGGCCTACCTAAGCTGTGCTGAGAAATGAGAGGAAAGGTTGTGGAGTGGGCCAGAAACAGAGGGAAGGGCCCCTGCTGAATGGATCCAGGGGCCTGAAGGAGATACCTCTTGGTCCAAGCCTAGGACCCACTCGGCTGCTTTGCAATCCTGGAGGGCCTGGCCAGGGGACCTTGGCTTCAGGCCTCCGGTATCCCTCCCCAGGCCTCTCCCCTGCACCCCCCACCCCCCACCCCCCCGCCCAGGCTGGGGACAGATGGACTCCTGCTTATGGCTCTGCCCCCGTAGTCTGTTCAGGTAACACAGGCATCTGCTCACAGCTTTAAAAAATTAAGGGAAACACTACATCACTTTATTCATTTTTATCCCATCAAAAATCATTTATCACAACTGGAAGTTTGTTCTTCTGGGAGATGAGAACAGAGAGAAATCTCTATAGCCTGACCCACCCTAAACCCTTTACGGAACAAGGCGGGGTATAAATGAATAAAAAATTTCTCTACCCTGAATTCCAGAGACCCAGGGTGTCTTACAGAGAAGTGGGAAATTGTCAGGCAGAAGAGAAGGAGGAAGGAAAGATGATCCTAGAAAAAGGGTTCTCTGCAGGCATAACCAGCCCAAGGTAAGGGGGACGGAGCGGACCAGGGAGGACGGTGTGAGCACAGGCAGGCAGCTTCACCCTCCCAGCTTTCTGGTCCATGCAGTGGGGATCATCACAGAACCTACTGCCTGGGGTTATTTATTGTGAAGATTAAATGATTTATTACATGTTTCACATATCTTACGGGCTTCCCTGGTGGCTCAGATGGTAAAGAATCTGCCTGCAATGCAGGAGACCTGGGTTTGATGCCTGGGTCGGGAAGATACTCTGGAGAAGGGCATGGCAACCCACTCCAGTATTCATGCCTGGAGAATCCCATGGACAGAAAAGCCTGGTGGGCTACAGTCCATGGGGTTGCAAAGAGTCAGACACAACCAAGCAACTAACACTTTCACTTAGATATTTTACCACATATTTGATACATAAAATAGTGCCTGAGGCATGCCAGGTACGGAATGAATGGCAGTTTTCAAAATGTTTCCACAAGGTTCAGAGCAAAGGCATCAGGATTTATTTATTTATTTGTTTATTTAAGGTCTAGTTGATTTACAATATTATAGTAGTTTCAGGGGTACGACTTAGTGATTCAGTATTTTTATAGATTATACACCATTTAAAATATTGGCTTTATTTCCCTGCACTGTGCAATATATCCTTGTAGCCTATTTATTCTATACATGGTAGTTTCTCTTAATCTCCTACTCCTGTCTCACTACCACCACCCCTGCCTTTTTCCCTCTCCTCACTGGTAGCCACTAGTTTGTTCTCTATCTCTGTGAGTCTGTTTCTGTTTTCCTATATTCATTCATTTGTTTTATTTTTAGATTGCAAATATAAATGATACCATTCAGTGTTTGTCCTTCTCTGTTTCACTTATTTCAAAGGCATCAGGATTCTAAAAGCTACATATGTAAAACTGGTGCACCCTGAATCAGGTGGGAAAATGGCATTAATGCCAGCTTCCTGACTGCAGCGTTATACTATGGTTAGGCAAACTGTAACCACTGGGGAAAACTGGGTGAAGGGTATAAGGATGGGATCTCTCTGTATTATTTCTTAGAACTGCAAGTAAATCTACCATTGCATGTATGCTAAGTTGCTTTAGTCGTATCTGATTCTTTGAGACCCTATGAACTGTAGCCCTCCAGGCTCTGCTGTTCCTGGGATTCTCCAGGCAAGCATACTGGAGTGGATTGCCATTCCCTCCTCCAGGGGATCTTCTTGACTCAGGGATCAAACCCACATCTACTGAGGCTCCTGCATTGCAGGTGGATTCTTTACCGCTGAGCCACCTAGGAAGCCCAAATCTACCATTATCCTCAAATGAAAAGTAAAACAATGACTCTCTTTGCTAGGGAAATAAGGTCCATACTCTTAGATACTTGTACGTGTAGAGATTACCTCAGAGAGGACACACAAACTCACACACAGCATGCCTCCAGTGAGGGGTCCTACCTAGTGCATTGGGGGGGTGGCTCTGTTTTTCCCTTTTGTACCTTCTGAATGTTATATCGTAACATATCTGATACAAAATAATAATTTTAAAACAAAACAATAAAATGCATTCAACCCTAGCTGCTTTTTTATTAATATATTTCTTATTGAAGGATAATTGCTTTACAAACCGTAGCTTCTTAATAGCCCTGTCGTGTCGGCAGCCCAGAGACTGTAACCCAGACTTTACAGATGAGGAAACTGAGGCTCACGGGTCAAGGTCACCCAGGACAAGAACACAGCTCTTATGGTCCAGAGCTCTGTCCTCCTTTTCACATGGCAAATGGAGGGGTGGGGCCACTCAGGAGAGCCCCAGAGTCAAGGCTGGTCAGCTACAGAGTGCAACCTTGAGATGTCCAACCCCTTGGCTGTCCTCCCCTGCCCCAGACCTGCTCAATCAGAACTCCCAAAACAGAGAACTTCTGAGAAACACCAGTGCAGCTGGAGGTGGTAACGTAGGTTGGCAGAAAGCCTCGAACCCTGAGGTTGGGGGCCTGGATTCTAACCCCAGACTCTGTTGTTATCTTGCTATGTGATCTCGGGAAGGTCACCTTCCCCTCTTGGGCCTCTGCTTCCTCTTATTTAAACTGAGGGCAACTGGATTAGGTCTGTGATTCTCAAACCTCAGTGTGCACCAGGCTCAGCTGGAGGGCGTGCTTACATACAGGCTGCCGGGCCCCACCTCCAGAGTTTCTGACTCATCAGGTAGGGTCCGAAAATTTGCATTCTAACAAGTTCCCCAGTGGTGCTGCTGCTGGTCCTATTGGAACAGACCATCTCTAAGCTCCCTTCCCAACCAGAGTTGGTGGTCTGTATTTTGTGAGATTTCTCTCCTCCTAGTCCACTCGGCAAAGTTTCCATAAGTCCTTCAAGAATGTATTATCCCTAAATACTGGAACTGGGCCTTGGGGCTAACTGATATGGCAACCGGGAGGTCCTTCATAAAAGCACATGGCCGGTGTCCCATGTCCCATGTCCCAGGTGCAGGCAGCCAGCTGGCCAGCAGGGGGCACCTTCTCTGCGTGGCACTCCCAGGGAGGCCACCAAGGAGGTTCTGGCATGATGACTGGGATGCCGGCTATGAGGTTGACAGCAGGCATTCCTGCCCTCAATAACTGCCAGACCCTGGAGAATGCGGCTTGCTGAGATGTGGCCGTTACTTCTTGTCACTCCCTCAATGCTTCCTTTGCTGGGGGACAGGCATTCAGGCACAGAGAGAGTGTCTGGTAGATAGGAACAGGGACCCAGGATGAGGGGTTGCCCACAGAGGGTCATCCCAAATAATATTGCCTCTGCTCAATGTGCTTAGAATCCATCCCCCAGTCCTGGCCCCAACACTCCTGTACCTCATTACCTGGCTCCCACGATGAGCTGGTTTCTGGAAGGATCCAGAGCGAGCTGGGAGAAATCTTGGACTCCAGGGTAGGTGAAGTTAGAGACCCATGGCTTCAGATCTGGGGGAGGGAGAGGCAGTTGTTCAGTTACTGTTGGACTAGGGGCTCCCAGCTGCACCAGCATTGGACCCAAGAACGGAAGGGCTGCAGTGAAGTGGGGGCACCCTGGAGATCTGGGCTCTACCTGCCCACCTCTGTGAGCAGACAGCTAGGGAACAGGGAGTAGGGGTGTTGTCACTGCTCCTGCTTTGCTCCCTAGCTCAAAAACGGGCTCCACCCATCCCCTAGCTGCACAAAGAAAACCTGTAACCATCCTTGACTCCTCAAGACCCTCACCAGCCACACCAAACACACTGACAAATCCTATCCTCTGAAATCCAGCCATCTTGCCCCCTGCACCCTACCCCCCAGACAAGCTACCGTCATCTCTTGTCAACAGCATCCTAACCAGCACACCTTCCACTCCTGCCCCTCCAGCCCATTTCCCACAAGGCAGCCAAGCCATCTTTATAATATGCAACTCTAGTTGTGTCACTCCCCAGCTTAGAACCCTGTAATAGTGCCCAGTTTCCTCTGGGCAAAGATATAACTCCTGTGACGGCCTTTGGTTTCTGGCCCCACTGTCCTCCCAATGAATGAATGCCTGGCGCATTAGTTATCTAGTGATCCACTGAAAGAATGATGCTTCAGCTTATACATTCCCTCTCAAACCATCTACCCCAGCCACACTCAACCAGGGCACATCTCCAGATCTGTCCCACAAGAGCTTGAGAACCTTTGCAGTTCCATTATCCCTCAGTGCAACAGCTCCTATTTGTCCCCATCCTCACCCCACCTCCTCCAAGAAGCTTTCTCTGACTCCCCCACACAAGGTGATAGGCTCCCATATACCTCTACTTGACTGCCATCAAAGCCCCCATCTCACTGGGTGTCTAATCTGGTAGTTTGCCCTGGGGGACAAGGAAGATCTTGCTTCTGGGATCTCTAGCCTCTGCCTAGTACCCAGAAGTATTTGACTAAATGTATGAATGTCAACTGTCTTTTGTACAAGAAGACTCAGGTTTTCAGACAAGACTCCACAGAGGTGGAAGAAAGGGAGGATGGGTGGACAGTGCCCATCTCTGTCTCCAAGGAGGATCATCCCAGCCAAGGCCAAAGTCTCTCATGAGGACTGGGTGGGCAGAGGAGACCTTGCAGCCCTCTGGATGGATGGGGCAGTGGTCATGGGAGGGTACATCCGGGGAACAGTGCCCAGATAACTTTCCCTCCAAATGGAAGCTCACTTCCCCCATCTGGGCTCACAGCCCCTCCACAGCTTTCTTTCAGCCTCTTCCTCATGGATGTGAGGGAACTGGCTGGTGAAGACAGAATGCTGTGGGCAGAGGAACTTTCACATTGGTAGGGTAAAGATGATGGGGAAATGTGAGGAGGCCCTGAGCTTTCTTCCTCACAGTATATTAGTAACTGGCTCCCAGAAGGCCCAGGGGAGAGTGCAGGGTGTGTGTGTGTGTGTGTGCGTGCGTGTGTGTGTGTGTGTGCAATCCAAGGGAAATAAATCATAGCTCATTATCCCTCCAACTACAGAGTAAAAGCAGCCCTTCATTTCTGCATGACAGGCAAACACTTAATCGCTCCCTGGAGAACTAAAGGTTTTGCAAGTTGGATGTTTTTCAGAAAACTGTGATATGCACCATTAAAAAAAAAAAGGAGAAGAAATTCTGCAACAAAATGAAGCAGACCCTTTGTGTCTGCCTCTGCCCTCAGCATGGGGCTATAGACTGGCACGAGCCATCATGAAGTTGCAGTGGCATCTGGGCGATCTCAGTATAGAGAGTGGATCTGAAGTCAGTTAGGCTGGGATTTTAGTTGATCTCAGGGCCACTCTCAAAAATCCGGACAGGATATCATAGTATCTTAGAGACTAAGCCAAGGGTCCTCCTCCTCCAGGAAGCCTTCCTGGATTATAACCTCTCCACCCTGATCTTATTCTGTTCTATGTTCTCTCTACACTTCCAGTTCCATTCACATTGTATGTTTTTGTTGCTCTGAATGTGCTCATCTGTTTTCCGGGTGGTGTGTGTGTATGTGAAGGGTTTGCCTGTCCCCAGCATACTGGGTGCTCTCCAATAAGAGCAACAAGTCACACTTTAATCTCCTTCTTCCCTTCTGACAGGGATGTTCCAGATGCTGAACAGAGGAAGAGATGGCATGACTGGTCTGCAGCAAACCAGGAGAAACTCCACCTGGAGATGGCTCAGCTCAACCTTCATTACAGCCCTTTCTTAAGGTGAGGGGAGAGGAGGAGGAAGCAGGGCAGGAGCCAGGATGACAGTGGGAAGTGGGGTGGAGGAGGGGTGGTCCCTTTCAGTTTCTGACCCTCTTCCTTACCCTGAAGTGACTGACAAGGGCAAGAGGGAAGGGGCGAGGGAGGAGATGCAGTGGGCTCAGCATGGTGATCCTGGGGGAGCCGTCTTGGGAAGGGAGCCAGCTTCCTCTTATTAAACAGGCAAAGAGGACCAGAGGGAAAGCTGTCGTTAAAACACCAAGCACGTTCTGACCACCGTGTGCAGTGAAGGCTTTGGATGGTGACTTTAAGAGAAAAATGACATTCTCCATGACGCGCCTGTGATTTTAATTATAGTCAATTCAATTACCCACTTTGTGGATTAACCACTGTTAGTGTTAACCCCATACTGGCTTCTCCCTGCCACCTAGAAAGGCCAAGCTGCAGTGAAAAGAATAACATGCAGGCCAGAGAGAAACACAGGTGGGGCCTCTGAAAAGAAACCAACAGGAGAAAATTCAACCTTACAAAACAGAAACACGGCTGTCAGATTCTGCAAGTGGCAGCTCCTCAGGGGGTATTTAGGGGTTATTCACAGATCAGCCAGGTGTCAGGGCAGAGGGAAACTCGGAGCTACAGGGTTAGAAGCTTACTGACCAGTCAGAAGTAAAGTGTAACATCTGAGGGGGTCCTGGAAGCTGGGGCTTGGTGCTGGGCTGTATTATGGCAACTGGAATACGGCATCACCCAGAAGAGTCACCTAATAAGAATGGAGTCCCTAGTGTGTGCCCTGCAGAAATAAAGGATTGGGGGGGTGGGGGGGTGGACAAGAGGACCAGCCCTGGCCCAGGACTAACTGCACTGGGGGACCAGAGGGAGTGACATTTAAGGAACAAGAAACAGGAGTACTCAAAAGAAACTCTCGGTTACCTTCTTAGGCACCGCAAAGTTCAGCACTGTGCCTAGAGTTAGGTATTGGGTCTAGGGTTGAAGAAAAATGTGGTGAATAGACAGGAAAACTCAAAGAAGTCAGAAAGAGGGAAGGGTTGAATTTCAGGGAGACCAGAAGGCCTGTGGAGGGAAAACAAAGATGATTCCACTCTCCGGGGCTGTCAGTCTAGGACGACAGACCGCCTCCCCTCTCCTGGGACTCAGGGAATTCCCGTCACCCCACGTCAACTGTCTGTGTCACTCTAACCTCATTCCTTCCTTCTGAAAGGAGGTGGTGTGGGAAGTCAGTTTCATTCAAGCACTTTACAGCTGAAGATCAGAACTGGTGTCAAGGAAGCCAAGTTCTTAAGGAACATGTCTTTACATCTCTCCACCCTCCTCCCATCACACCCAGTTTGTACCAATACAGACCAGCCTGGCTGGGCAACAGGGACTCCCCTGCTCTCCTTCCACTATCTCTGTTCCCAGATCCAGCCATGCCCCAGCAAAGCCCCTGAGAAGAAAGGGTTCATTAGGAGCGGCCACAGGGGGTCCTCATATGACAAGGCCACCGTCAAAATCCTGCTCCTTGGTCCTTCCCTTCAGCAACAGCCACCAGCACGCCAGGAGCCATCAGAAGTCTAAGGGTATGTGTGCGTTTTGTAGGTTTAAGGACACTGCTAATTTACTTTAATCCACTTAAGCCTTCAAAGCCTCGGATCCCAGCTCCAACAAGACAGCACAGAGAAGATGGCTGGAAACCCTCCTCCCTGAGTGGGAGCCAGCCCACAGCTGGGAATCCCACACATCTGAAAGGCCCCCAGCCTCCCCACCTTGCCGCCCCAGCTCCTATCCATAACCGCCTCCAGATCCCATGCCTGCCTCGGTCTCATGGATTCATTTCTCCACTCTAGTTTCTATCTTGCCCCTCTAAGCTGGCTGTATGGAATCTCAAGGATGGGTTGCCAGGGCACCCGAGGTTGGAGCAACTGCCCTCTGCCCCGGGAAGTGGGAAAAGCCCCGGACAGGAAGGAGGAGGCCAACACTGAGACCCAGCTCTGACAAATCCCTCTAACCGTCTACACCTCAGCCTGCCCTTTTGTAAACAGACATGAGTCCTTGCCCTGCTGCGCTGCCAGGGTTATTGTGAAGAGGAAAAATCACAGATAGTTTATCAACCTTAAGAACCTGGGGACTCCTGAAACTGCATCTGCAGATCCTCATGTGAGCTGCCACATAGGTGATGGATCCTAACACCCCTAGTGACCCCCAAACTGGCTAACAGGTCAAGGGAGAACTTGAAAGATGCTCTGGTATTTGTGTTTTATTTTTAGATTATCATCAAACGTATATCCTCATTTTAGAAACTCTTATTGAGAACTTATGGACCCCCCAGAATATGACCAGTGATTCACAAACCCCAGCTTGGGAAAGACTCTAACAGGACACTCTCACGCCCTTCCTTGACAGAAGGAGTGCTGAGTCATCAAGGCCCCTTTCCCTGGGGACTCCCGGGGCCTCAAAGACAGGCATCCCTATAGCCATCTTAGAGCAGAAGGAAGCTTTCCAGAGATCTCCAGGCATTCCCTCATGCGTGAGTCACCCTCATTCTTCCTCAGGGAAGCCAAGAAGCAGAGCTCATGCTGACAGAAGAGATACAGCTGAGATGACCCACCAACCCCTGGCCACCCCACCCTGGGCAGCCACAACCTCATTCTCCAGCAATGGAATTCCAAGGAAGGACCCCAGGGAAGCATGGAGAAAGAGCTGAAGGAATTGTCTGGAGACAGACTCAGATCTCCCAGCCCACTGCTACCCATTCCTCTTACATCTACCCTCAGAGGAAGAGTCTTCATACCCTACAGGAAATGACTTCCGACATCCAGAGAGACCCTGCAGAGGGTCCGCCTAAGTCCTTCAGGACACAGTTATTGCAAAAAAGGACCCAGGGGGAAGTGGCTCTCACCTGCAAAGGCCACGATGGGGTGTTCCCTCAGGGAGCACAGCTGCTGCTCACTGCTGGCTTCACTGGCGACATCCTGGGAGCTGGCGAGGTGCACCACCAGTAGTGTGACAGCCAGGGGTCCTGGGAACACCATGCTGGGCCCCTCTGTGGTACCGGCTCCCGGAGGCAGGCTGGGGGAAGACCTGCAATGCAAATGCTCACTCTCACCATGCGCTCCCTCGGCAATGCCCACCTCTCAGTGGTCCCACAGGATTTGTTTGTTTAAATAAAATTTATATTTTATTTATGATACTTAAGAGTTTGCTCTGCTCCAGTAATGTAAAGTTATAGATCATATCTTGAAAGCTAATTTCCCTCGTAATGGTATTCTGGACAAAACTGACAAATTATAGAGCTTTTTCTATTATGATCCCAAATGGTTTAAAATTTATTTTAATGATAAAGGTGGTATCTTAGGGATTTTAATAAATGGAGTTAGGACAAGTGGGTAGCCATTTGTAAAAACATAAATTTAGATCCATAACTCACACCAACTAGGGAAAATTCCACTGGATGAAAGATTTAAATGTTAAGGATAAAAGCAGAAAAATACTAGAAGAAAATGTGGTCAGAATTCTTTATAACCTTGGAGTGGAGAACCATGACTCAAAATCCAGAAGCTATTAAACAAAAGATTGACAAATTTAACTACATAAAAATCACCAACTTCTGCAAGCTCCTCCCTACCCCTCCCCCTAAAAAACCAAACATCCAGCAAAATCAAAAGGCAAATGATAAACAGGGGGAAAGATTAGCAGTTTGCAGCAGGCACAAGGGGCTAATATTCCTAATATATAAAGAATTCCTGAGAATCAAGGGGAAAAAGACAACAATCCAGTAGAAAAATGGCAAAGAATATAAATTCAAACAGGGCTTAAAAATATGAATGACACTATTCTCATTCATAATAAGGGCAACTCAAATTAAAAGTTGAACTGAGGTAAGGCTGCTCACCTATCAGCTCTGCACAAATCCAAGTGAGATGACAGCTCTTGGGAGGCAGTGGGAAAGGGGTGCTCATACGCTGCTGGCGTGCATGCCTGCCAAGCTGCTTCAGTTGTCTCCAATTCTTTGCGACCCTATGAACTGTAGCCCACCAGGCTCCTCTGTCCATGGGGACTCTCCAGGCAAGAATACTGGAGTGGGCTGCTGTGCCCTCCTCCAGGGTATCTTTACGACCCAGGGATAGAATCCATGTCTCTTGTGTCTCCTGCATTGGCAGGCAGGCTCTTTACTGCTAGCGCCACTTGGGAAGCCCCTTACAATGCTGGATGGTGTACAGAATGATACAACCCCATGGAAGGGGACCTGGCAACATCTGGCAAAACAACAGAGGCATGACCCCCTTTGACCTAATTCCCTGGGGTAAACCAGTGCTACTCGAAGTGTGGTCCACAAGCTGTGACCACTCTGAGGTAAGGTAAATGAAGAATTTGGATAGTGTTTTTTAAAACCTTTATAGTAATTGACAGGGTAGTTTTTATGTCCATTGGATCTGATAACAAAATATGTGGACTTGTATTTTGCTTAGCTTTTTTTTTTTTTTCAATTCACTTCTCAAGAAATTCTCTTTGATTGAATTTTACCTAAGTATCCACCTGCAGCAGATTGCATATTGAAAAGTAAAATCTGCTCCTTCACCACAGTTAAGAAACAAGAATAGGTGACTGGGACCCCTGCAAAGTGACTTATACACGAGATTATTCCTTGTGGCATTTTTTTTTAAATAACAAAAGATGGTAACAACCAAATATCCAACAAATGGAGACTGCTTAAATAAGCCATGGTGTGTCTTAGTAATGGAATATGATACAGCTACAGAAAAGAATGGGGATTGGTCTTCAGATTTTGTTATGGAGGAGTCTCCAGGTATATTAAGTGTAAAAAACAAGGTGTACAACAATGTAATATAGCATGCTACACTTTGTGTAAAAAAGAGGGTAGAAATAAGAATATATATTTATATTTGCTTATATTGGCATTACAATACAGTGGAAAAAATAAACCCAAACTAATTAAAAAAAAAAAGGTCACTTAAAAGTAGCAAAATGGTGATCCTGGTGTATCAATATATAATTTTTTATAATATTTTTACTTTTGAATATTAAATGTGCTTAATAATATCTATTCAATTAAAAAAAAGATGGCTTAAAACTCAACATTCAAAAACAAAGATCATGGCATCTGGTCCCATTACTTCACAGCAGATAGATGGGGAAACAGTGACAGACTTTAGTTTTAGTTTCTTGGGCTCCAAAATCACTGCAGATGGTGACTGCAGCCATGAAATTAAAAGACGCTTGCTTCTTGGAAGAAAAGCTATGACCAACCTAGACAGCATATTAAAAAGCAAAGATATTACTTTGCCAACAAAGGTACATCTAGTCAAAGCTATATGGTTTTTCCAGTAGTCATGTGTAGATGTGAGAATTGGACCATGAAGAAAGCTGAGCACCAAAGAATTGATGCTTTTGAACTGTGGTGTTGGAGAAGACTCTTGAGAGTCCCTTGGACTGCGAGAGATCCAACTGGTCTATCCCAAAGGAAATCAGTCCTGAATATTCATTGGAAGGACTGATGCTGAAGCTGGAGCTCAAAACTTTGGCCACCTGATGTGAAGAGCTGATTCATTGGAAAAGACCCTGACGCTGGGAAAGATTGAAGGCAGGAGGGGAAGGGGATGACAGAGGATGAGATGGTTGGATGGCATCACTGACTCTATGGACATGAGTCTGAGGAAGCTCTGTGAGTTGGTGATGGACAGGGAGGCCTGGCGTGCTGCAGTTCAGAGGGTTGCAAAGAGTCGGACACTCCTGAGCGACTGAACTGAACTGAACTGATTCAATAAAAATTTTAAAACTTAGTGTTGGCTCCTCAAAGCTTCTAATACACAGAGTTGCCCAACAGTTCCTCTGGAGCCTGACTCAAACACTCTGCATCACTCCCCACCTCTCTCCTTCCCCCATCGGGTGTGTCATCAAGCCCTGTTGACTCCGCATCCTTTACATGTCCCTAACACACCCAAGTGGCCTCCTTGATGTCACTTTCACTATCTGTGAACTGAAAGGTTGAACTAGATCATGGATTCCTGGCTGGGATAGCAGCAAATCGGAATCACTTCCACTGGAGGTGGAGTCCTGAGACCAGTAGGTGAGTGGTCCCCAAGGTGATTCTGACAAGTCTCCCCAAGGCTGAGAGGCCCCTGGGGTTCCTTGATGCTCAAGATCCTTTTTACTCCTAATCTCTCCTCTCTCTTCCCTCCCCACTGCCTCTACTTACTCCAGGTTTTGAAAACTACAGCAGGATGTCTCTTCCTGTTTCCTCACCTGTGTGTAAAATAAGATAAAACCTATCATTGCATTGCTGCAAGGCTTCCAGGAAGTATCCCTGTGGCCACACAGTCCGTGCACCTTTACCCTGCCCCATCCCGCACCTCACAGGTCATTAGTCCCCAGAGCACCTCTTCAATCTCAATCTCAGGCTCAACTGGCTGCTCCTTCCCAGGAGAGCCTGGCCATCTCTCTGAGCAGAAATCCTCTGGGAGGGAGATTTGGCCCAAACTTACTCCCTGGAGCTATTTTACATACGGCTGTTCACAGAACTTATTCCTCGTGCTAAACTGGGTCCTTCCTGCTGCGAAGGGCTTGGCACTGCTCTCCTGTCCTCGGTGCCGGCATCTCCTTTCCTTGACACTGATTCCTGGCCTCAGGAGATTGAGGGATCAAAATGCAGGGCCAACTCTCTAGAGCCAGTCAACCTGAGTTCAAACTCCAGCCTTCTCCTTACCAGCTGTGCAACTCTGGGAAAGAATACTTAACCTCTCCCTGCCTTAGTTTCCTCAAACTGGGAGTGAGAATAACAACATCAACTCCCTCAGCATTTGTAAAATTAAGGGAGTCACAGGTGGCTGCACCTGCGGGTTCTGCATCTAACCAACATGGATTGAAAATATTCTGGAAAAAAATTCCAAAAAGTTCCAAAAAGCGAAACTTGAATTTGATGTGCCCCCAGCAACTATTTACATAGCATTTACAACTATTTACATATCATTTACATAGTATTAGTAATCTAGAGATGATTTAAAGTGTATGGGAGGATGTGCATAGGTTATAAGCAAATACTGTACACCATTTTCTATAAGGCAGTTGAGCATCTGGGGGTTTTGGTATGGGGAGAGTGGTTGGGAACCAGTCCCCCATGGATGCTGGAGTGTACTACCTCTTAAAGGCATAGAACAATGCCTGGCAGGCAGTGAGCATTAATTAGAGCTATCCCGGTGCCCTGAGGGAAGAGGAGCAGGGAGGCCTGGGAAATTCCCTCCCGTCCTTGGGCTGGAGGCCTTTTGTTTACTCTTTCTCCTTCTCCTTGCTATGGGCCTGGACTGCATCAGGGGCTTCCTTCCCTCTGGTCAATAGGGGGCACAGGCAGAAGATGGGGAGGGGGAGGCAGGGAGGGGGTCAGGAAGCAAGAGAGTGGGCTGCTGCATCCCTCCACGGAAGGTCAGAGCTCCTTTCCTGCAGCTTCTCTGCCTCCAGGTTTCAACATCACTCCCTCCTTCCTCCCTTCAGGCCTAGGGGTGTACCACATTCCTGGTTATCAGCCCCAGGGTACTGCACAGTGAGCTTTCCCATACGGTTTCCCAAGCCCTTCCCACCCTTCTGTAAACAGTTCCTTTATTAAACTGCCCTCGAATTTCCCAATTTGTGTGTGCCATCTGTTTCCTGTGGGGACCCTGGCTGATATTAACACCTAATTGGCGATGTTCAATACATATGCAAATATCATCCTTTTAGACTTTAGCTGGGGCTTTTCTTCTATCAGCCCCTCAGGACATCCAAGGCAGTATGACAACTGCTCTCCCCCCATTATTCCCAACCTTCCCCTTGTCCTATGGTTCTTTCCCAGACTTCTGTGTCACTCCGAGTCCCCAAGCCTGGCCCTCTGTGTGGCCAGATTCTGGGTTCCTCCAGCCTGAATTAGGCATACATCCTGGGACTTCCCAAGTAGTGTTAGTGGTAAAGAACCTGCCTGCCA